ATTCATGAAGGTGATCGGTTTGATTGGAGAGCCTGCAGGACCAGAGTTGTGTGTYTCCATCGTGTGTAGAAGCTTGGATGTGTCTTGTTGGGAGTTTCTGTTGATGGCTGAGCTTTGAGGGCCCCAGCATTGGATGCAGCGTTYGCGGCTGCATTGGCAGCTGCGGTTTGAACGTTCTTGTTAGACATGACTCCGGTCGCAAGCTCCTGCTGAGCCTTCTCGAAGCTAGCACCAGTGGTACGGTACAGCACGTGCACCTTTTTGAACATAATGAGCGAACCCACAGACAGAGCAGTGAACAGAGCTGCAATCAGCAGCATGATGATGCCCACTGGGATACTTGTGTTCAGACCAGTTAGAGCTGCAATCCAGCCACATGTCCCCCAGCCAGTGATTCCAATCGTTTGAAGGACATGAACCCCGAACTGACAAATGTGGACGAAGAAGAAGACAAAGAAGCGGAACGAGCTGTCGCTCCTGAAAGTCCCGTAAAGTGGTCTGTACCAGCAGACGAACGAACACGGGGTAAACAGCAGAAACCAGAGCATGGCGAGGCCAAAATCTACACCACGAGACGCATCCACAATGAACCACGCCAGGCAGCCAAACATGTTCACAAAGAGTGTGCCTGCGTGGAACAACCAAAGGTTGTACATAATCTTCACGGTCTTCTGGAACTCTATAGGGATGTCCACAGCAATATCGTGATAAAAACACGGGCCAATGGGAAACTTCTCTGGTAAARGAGGCCAGTTGTTTTTACGTCCTCCTGCCACTCCGTGGGACTGTAACTCTCTTTCCCGATGATCAAGCTCTGMAGCTTTCTTCTCCAACTCCTCCTGCCTTCTCAACAACTTAGCCTGAGCACGTGCCTGGTCCTGAGTCTGGTGCTGTGAGTAAGCTGGAGGCTCTTCTGTTGGCTTCATGATGGCAGGCTGTGTGTTCTGGGAAGTTGCAGGAGCAGGTTTGGGGGTATTTCCCGGTGCTGCCATTCTGGCATCTGTGAACGCGTTATATTCCTCCAGACCACCAGGAGGGGCAGACCGTGTCACCTGGGTCACTGAAGGATCCTGAAAAGGATTGCTGAAATCCGGGTCAGCGAACCGATTGCTGTCAAAATCGGACATGATATTGTCTCTCTAATAACAGTTTCCCTTGTGTCAAGACTGTCCAATTTTACAAGGAAGCTTCAGCGTTTTGACTTGACTGCCTCTTTTTGTTGTCTGCAGCCTTCTACGCCTCCTGCTGACAGAGACCTCTAGCTTAGCCCATTAGCCAGTAGCTTGAAAATGAAATAAGCTTTTCTTTCTCTTGTCTGTTCCAGTCTCGAAGGTTTCACGCTTCCGTTTTGTGAAAAATCAAACAAACAAGATGATGAGATTTGTTGATGTAAAACAACTTGTAAAGATCTGAACTGTCACTTTAACCTGAAGTATCAGCAGTTGTGGTAAAACGGGTCCAAAATTCTGAAGCAATGTCTGCTGGATCCTTTCTGTCAAACTAAAACCACAACTTTTATTTTGCAGGACAAATACCTTTGTGTGTTTTAGTTTGTGTCAGCGGACCGAGAGCAGCTAATCCTGTTTGACCCCCAATCCCACTCAGATCTGCAATGGCCGAGTTTTACTGACACGTCTGAAAATTGGTCCGTGGACCAGAACGTTCTGTCAACCGAGGCAGAAACTCATGAAAGCACAAAGAAGACGCGCAGGATTTATTTTATTGTAGAAATCATCGTTCAAAAAAGGAAGTCTGAATAATAGCAGAAACCCACTGGGATATCTTTAAAAATCTTTATTCTCATCTGACTCCAATCATCTCCATACAGCAGGACACAGCACAGGCCTCAGAGTCAAAAGCCTTGAGCTCGTATCAGGAAACCAAAACCAAAACAGCCCAGTCTGTTCCAGAGACTCTCTGCACAACTCTAAAATTCTTCTCCTTTCCACTCAATAATAATGAACTGACCTTATATTGTACATCTCTTCCAGGTTACACCCCTGAAGGTGGTAACTTTTACGTCAGACATTAACGTAACCAACTTTTGTTTATACAGACAGAAAGAACACATGATGACACATCAACTCTCATTCTCTGTTTTAAACTTAAGACTGCAATGATCAAAATGTGTAAAAATACAATACTGGATCTAACATTTACTCAACCAGTTACACAATGTCCTTCATTACGTTTTCCTGTTTTACTTAGTTTCCATTTGGAAACGTAATGAAGAACTTTGTCTAAATCGACTTCATTGGTTTTCACAGCCTGAAAATAAACGGAACGTCTGAAAAAGACGAGTTCTGACCATTTTTTTTCATCCATTTTTTGGACTCACTAGCAGAACGTGGTGCATGTGAGACTCTTCTACTCATATAGATCTTATCAATAAGTGACAAAAATCGGCCGATGTTTGATTCAACTTAGAAATTCAAGAAAAGGTCAAATAGGCTTTTTACAAGCGCGCACACAAATCAATAGCCAAATGAAATGATAAAAGACAGCCTTCCTTCTTGCTGACATTTTTGTCTTTCCTGCTGTGGGGAGGTTTTGATATCGGGGCCCCCCCTCAGAGGAGGATGGGGGTCCACTCTTTCCACGTCTTCCCCCCCTCCACTCAGCCTAAATGAGGGCTTTTTTCGCAGCTGTTGGTGCGGGGTGTCTGCTCCGGGGAAGAATGAGGACTTCCTGTGGAGGGCCTTTAAGAGTGGGGCTGAGGAGTCTAGCTCTCCCGTCCCTTACAGTTCGTCTCAATGTCTCTCGCTCATCCTAAATGGGGGTCAAGCTTCAAACCAGGACCAGCTGCTTTCAAAGACCCTAAAGAGCAGTTCTCCACCTGCCCTTTTCTCCCCTCCCTTCATAACCTTTTCTTCTTCCCTTTCTAAGTGAAGTTCCTTCTGCTTTTTTTCCCCAACCATCAGYCCTCGCTTCCTCTCCATCCTGTCTCCATCTGCTCATTTTAACTACTGTACAGTATTTGTAAATGTTTCAACCATGTACAGGATAGCAGTTCGGAGCCACATTATCTGGAAACTGTTTCAACAAAACACACTTGGTTTCATCTTAGTCTTTTTAAGATTTTACACAATGAAGATTAAACTATGAAAGATTTGCATTGTGATTGCTTGCAAGTTATTATTGCCATGGTTTTCCTAAAATATGTTGAAGACATGAGAAAYGTACAATTACAACCTGAAATGTTTGCATAAACAGTAGGGCAGCCACAAATGATTATTTTTATAGTCGGTTAATCACCCTTTTTTTTTATTAGTCAACTAATCAGATCAAACGTTAATTGAATATAAAACACAGAGCTTATCATGCCAGAATGCAGCTGCTATTATATAACCATGGTTAGATTTTAGCTATATGCTAACTAAAAATAATTGCTGTGGAAGGCACAGATTGGGTTGTACATGTTTCTCTTTCATTTTCTTAAAATGATCCCACACTTTTCAGCTCTGTTGCCAGGTAGCCATGATACCAGAGCCTGTC